ACAGCCAGCTGACCATGAAGTGCTACCAGCTTCTAAAATCTGCTTGACTGCACATTACTTCTTCAAGCCTTCCAGATATAGGAGAAAATTGTTGCACAGAAATCTTTGAAGATGAGGTTGTATGAACACAGATTTCTTCTAAAGGTTATGGAGAATGGAAATGTAGTTAAAGTATCATTTCCTCTAGCTGTCCATTTTACTATTGCCACTTTTGATCTATGCTCATGTGAAAAAACAATTCATTAATAAATCTCTACCCCAAGAGGTATTTTGATAGCATAAATCTACTGTATTTATTGTTCATAGCAAATCTTAAAGGGAAGAAAAAACCAGAGGAAGAATACAAAGAAAATGTTTGCCTTAATGAATGAAAATTGGACTGTTTGTATTATAAAAAAGGAGATAATTATGGCTATAAAATATCATGGTCAAAGAATGAAAATGAACAACATACACAGTGTGTAGAAATGGGAGTGAGCCATTACAGTCAGACAGATTCACTGAGATCTTTTCTCCATAGTAATTCTTAATGATGTGGGAATTTCTATTTTTTTGTTAAGGACTGAAACCATCCTAGAGAACATTCCTGGAGTTTGGCAGCAGTGCAAGAGATTGGTTTACAAACATTTCACACCAGGAAAATATTTGGAAACCAGTAATGTGGTGTTTGGCCACTACAATTATAAGCAGCAATAGATGCAATTTTTGTTCCATTAGAGCCATTTGGCAGGTTAGTGGTTCATTTATCTGTTACCAAAGATTTCCTAGCCAGGAAATCGACTTTGCAAAAATTTCACATTTTAGGCTGAGTCTTTTTTTGACAGGGAAAAAGTGATTAAAAAAATAGCAAAATTTCAAAACAAAGGGTTAAATCATCAGTTAAATACAGCACAGTAACACTGCAAAGTTTGACTCTTGTTTCTGGATTTTAGAATGAATTTTCCTTTAAGCAGTAGCTAAATGGTTTCCTTATATTGTTCATGTGTTGCACGAACCAGATCAGATCAGTCTTAAAGTTCATAATTTTCCCCAGAGTGTCTGAAATCCTACTACAAAGAGTACTTTCGTCTTAAGAGTCTGACACCAAGTAGAAATAAAAGGCTGAAATAATAGCATCACTAACTTGGCTTAATTAATTGTATGTTTCTGTACTTAAGCTTGAAGGGTGGAAAGTATTGCTTTAAAAGCTACCTACAAAACTGGTGAATGAGCAGCCACTCAGGGTGCCACTTCAAAGAGAAACACCCAAAAGAGCAACAGAAGGGAAGCTGCTTTTGAATTCTCTCAGTTCCTCCTGGCAGCCCAGGGCTTGCAAAGGAAAACAACCCAGAAATGGTTATTTTCTTTTGTGTTAGTTACATAACAGGCTCCCAGCAAATAAAGCTGGAGGTGGAGCAGCCATACAAAGACCCACTTTGTAACCTGTGCCTGCCATAGCTGCACAAAAGGATCTCACCTGAATTTAGGCATTTTTCCTTCCTGGCCGAGGGAAATTCTTTACACTGCAGCCATCTTAATAAATAACTGTGTAACTCTTGGTTGCTCTGGTGGATATTTTGTTATTTGAGCCTTCATGGTTACTCCAGATTTCTACCTTAGTGCTGAAGCAGTTGAACAAATCTTGGTTTCTACAGTTTTTTTATTTTTCGTATTTCTTTGTGTGCAATTTTGTAATCAGTGAAGAGGTAGGGGAAAGTAACTGCAAAAGGGAAAGCTGGTTTATACAAGAGGGCTCAGTCTTCCCTTTGGAATCTCCAAAAATTGTGCTTTCATGTTAAGCATCCTGTGCCACCTTTACCCTTTGCAGCCACGCTGTGGCTTCCATAGAGCAGCATTTGGGATGTAGGCTGGTACTTCACTGCTGCAGGTGACAGCCCTGGCTGCTCAGCAGCCTTCCTTCTGTCCCCTGCTTGTCCTGCATCCCCCTGACTGTCAGCTGGTGGATCCCTGGCTCTGCCTCCCTCGCTTTCTCCTTCCCACAGCTCTGTAGTGGCCTGCTCTTGGGTTTGGCACTTCAGTTTGTGATTTACCAGTTATAAAATCCCAGGATTACAGGTATGCTCCTTTACTGTCCTCAGGTGTCAGCTGTAACACTGCTGCCAAGATGTTGTGGTGCCCTCATTTTTAAAGGGTGATTAGGAGATCAGTCAGATCAGAGTAACTATAACTGATGAAAGGATTGAGAGAATTTATACATTTGGCAGTTCTAACCATTTTTTACACTTACTTTATGGACCTGGAAAGGAGGGAGTTGCAATAAATACGAAATTCTAAAATGTCACCTGTGCCCAGCTTCTACAAACTTTATTATCATTACCTCTGTAAGAATTAAAAGTCAGTTCATGTACTCCAGAGCAGCAAATATTGTCAGACAATGTGTAATGGAAATTTCTGAGAGCCAATATTTAACATCTTGAAATGAGAAGCATCCAGGATAACTTTTGGAATCACTTGAATTCACTATATATATTACAACAAAATATGAAGGTAAATATTAAAGTATTTTCATCAGATGGATTTAAATTAATCTTTGGATTTCCTTTAAAAAAATAAATGAAGAATCTTTCAGTAATGGAGAAACAGGGTGCCCCCATATTGCTCTCACTCTTAAGTATGATGTAGAGAAAAATTACTTGGCAGTCGTTCATTTCCATGGTTAAACTCTTGTTCTTTGAGTCCAGAATGCTCTTAAATTATCTGGTTTAGGCCCTGATACTGCAAATTAACTCTGGGTATTAGATGCATAAACAGAGGCACAGCAAAACCCCACTGAAATTAAAAAGCTGTGTGTGGCCTGGGGCTCTGTCTCATGGGGCTGTTTGCTGGGGGTTTGTTTATTTTTTAAATGTTCTAAAATGTTTCCCAAGTGAGGATGTGATATTCCATAAATGACAGATCAGTAGTAGCAAACTTCAAACTCTCTTACAAAGTAGCTTTTCTTGGCTCTGTTTAGGAAAATCTCTTTGATTCTGCTTGTATTTAATGTGCTGCTGGGTAACTGGAACATACATCTCAAACCAAATTCAGAGAGTACCATGAACTGACACCTGCTGAAGTCTTTAATTAAAAGTGGTTTAATCTCTAACAATCTCTAGGTACATAAGCAGAAAGTATCTCTGTTTCATGTGTACTTTGAACTGCCATTCATTTAGAAATCAAAGATTTGTAAATGAAACACAGTATGCCAGACATGATGATGTTTGACTGGAATCTCTTCTTGTTGGCACAGCCTGGTTTTCCTGGTGCTGTCAGCCCCCAGGAATACTTCTTATTAAAAATTACAGAGAGAGGGAAAAGACAGAAGACTGTCTTAATAAAAGTGTGTGTATCAACTATCTAAAAATATATATTTAAAGCAGGAAAACACAGTGGGACATATAGTGGAGAACTGCCAGTGGGATCAGACTTTTCAGTATCTTGCATCTTTTTTTGAGTATCTTGCAGGTGAATATGTTGGAGGGGCTGTTCTACACCAACTCAAGGTTTTGGGGTAACAGATATTTTTTTTTTAACCATTCTCTAAAAGAATGGTTGCCTGTGGAGCTGCATACATATAATGGGCTTATGACTGGCCTTCAGTGAAGAATTTAAACTTAAAAGCTTGTTTGGGTGTAGTTGATATCTTATTCAATGTATCCTTTCTGTTTTTATACACAGTCTCTAAGATTAGTGTGGTTGAGTATATTGAAAGTAATAAAAAACAGACACAGAAAAATTGTTGCATGTTTAAAGAAAAAAAAATCATAAAATGGAAGAGGAAGTGCATCATTTATTATAACACCATGTAGACTAATGAAAAACATACTGCAGGCTGGAAATTTGTTAAGAGCTGAACTCAAAAAGTTTCCACTCCCAAAAAATGCCTTGGGGCCTCCAGCTGTAAGCCTGTGGCTAAAGAGGCCCTATGGTAAACTGACATAAAAAAATAAGTACTCCATAAACAGTCAGCTCCTGTTTCACAATAGTTGGAAAGATATTTTTAAAAAGTATTACTATTGATGCTGACTGTACCTTATCAAAGTAAAGGGAGGCAGTGCATTTATGACTAAAACTTTAAATTGGAAGTTGGACACTGGGCACCAAAATGTTTATTGTACATAGGAGGAATATGAAAAAGATGAGGTGACCTGCTTAGAGTAACAGAACAGCAGCTGGTACTGGCAGAGCTGGAATTAATATTAAATAATTCCTAGCTTTTCATCCTTTGCTAATTAGACTGGGCTGTACAAGTCCCCTGTTCCTCTCCACGCTGAGCAGGTGCCACCCCTCGTACCCAAGCAGTTCCTTTGTTGTGTGCAAATACCCCCTCAGAGCATTGCTGGTGTTTGCACCATCAGTGCTCACGTGAATGGAATTAACTGGCCACTTGGAGAAGGCAAGATGAAGTTTTGTGTCTGTCCTTTAAACAGATTAAGTTTAGATTAGAAATCTCCTAAAGGTGCATCTTCCCTGCTGAGCTGACAAGGGCTTGGCTTTGCCTTTGCCTTTCCCCTTCTCCCTGATCAGCCCTTGTTAATGACATTCCCATGGGTTGTGGGCTTCCAAGGCTCTCCCAGGAAGGCATTGCAGCCTCCATTCCTTCTTCACATGGCTTGGGAAGCATTTTATAGACATAATACAAATTAAACCTTCTGATGTGCCTTCAGTCTGTTTCTCCAGAGGTTTCCCTGCCTGGCAAAGAGCCCTGGTGTGCCTCAAAGGCAATGGGACACTTCCACAGAGTCCAGATTTTACAAGCCTAGATGTAGTAAATTGAATGTAACTTAATAAGATTCTTCAGGTGGCTGGTTTGTGATCTTTGAGAAGGACAAGCTGCGAGTCAATATCATTTATCTCAGTTACATCTTCAGTCAGGACTTGGTAATCCAGTCCTTTTTAAACAGAAATAAATATCAGGTCTAGAAGTCCCAGTTTTGGTAAAATATTTTCACAGTTTTACATGGATGAAATAAGCATGCACAATAATAATCATCACACTGTATTGCTACAGCTCTACTTACATGAGTTGCAGCCCGGGAGAATGTCAGCCTGGGAGAGGGAGCCACTGGGAGGAGAAAAGGAAAAAAAAATAAAAGGTGAAACAGTTATTTCTAGGTGATTGAAAGAAATGAAAACAAAATTCAATCCAATCTGGTAAATATAGATCACTTTAATTTTTTTGTCTTGCATCTCCCTATGCTCTGTGTGACATTTACAATACCCAGTGTTTTCATCCAGATTAGAAAATCTATAACGTAATTGTTTGTGGTGTTCAATCTTGTAATGTCTCACAGTGGGGCTGATGGTTTTATTTCCACTTGTGAGGTGAATTGAAGATCTTGAATAAAAGCTGTAGATTGATCTAAAAATGGAACCATAACTTCCTTTTCGTCATTAAAAATGTCATGCTTGGTGGGTTAAAACTGACATGTAACAACCCCTATATGGAATATTTGTCATGTTATATGAAACCACAATAAATGTCACTTTGGTTTGTTATTGTAAAAAGTGGTGGATTTGGCACACAGTGTCACGTTAATTCACTTTACTGAGTATGTGTTTGTTCCTTTGCATGCTGTGGGGAAAAATATAGAGAATTATGTTTTATTGCATTGTAAGAAGTGTAATATATCTGTCCACTCAAAATTTGTAGCCACTATTTCAGTATGCAGATGCAGCTTATCTAAAGGAGAAGGAAAAACAAGTAAAGCACTAATTTCCGTATCTGTTTCAGTAGAAAAAAATATGAACAGGCATACGTAAGGAATTAAAGAGGTTTGAGCTGAGATTAATGATTGAACAGTAATATTTGTAGAGAAAGGCAAAGAGTAAATGAGTTTTCCCCTAAAAAGAAAAATATTAACTTGTTCAAGGGTACTTAATTATGACTGCATTTTGAGGTAAGTAGAATACTTTATCAGGGAAAAAATATTTTAAGGTAGCTGCCTGTGCCACTACATTCTTTTTTGTATTAAAGTTTTATTGAGAGATGCAGCGCTGGTCTGTAAAAGATCTGATCTCACTCTGATGCACTTTCTGTCTACTCTTAGCACCAGTTATGGTTGTTACTACCACATTTTCCAGTCAGGGCTCCCCAGCTCTCCTTGGCCTCTCTCTGCCCTCTGTTTGACATCTTGTGGTTGGCATTTAAGGGCCCAAGAAAAACAAATAGTGCAGCCAGTATTTTGCTTGCAATTTTAGTTTCGTAGTTTGATGGAGAATGGTAAATAGAAGGACAAACTGTTACTATTTTTATGTAGTCTTGATCTTGAGAGAAAGGGATTGCCATGGCTAATGTGTCTTTGTGATGTGCCACAGAGGTGGAAATGCCCAACACCAACTCTGATGGCTGTAAAATCCTACAGTAGTGGCTGGCTCATCCCAATCTATGGCTGGCCTCACTTCTCAAGAACTAAAATAAATCTGCCACGGATCCATGCAAAGAAGGAGCAGCTGTTCTGTTCATACTTCTGTGTGAATTTAAGTCACGTCCAGGGACACAGTGGGACAGCTGTCCCGTGCTTAGAGCAGAAACTGATTGTGGAGAGCTTCTCCTGGTTCTTCTCACTGCTGAAGTCCCACCTGGACACAGCTGTGACACATCTGCAGCTCTGGGAGCTCCAGCTGTGTAAGGATAGGCTGCAGGAGATGGCTCCCCCTGAGTAATGCAGTCCTTCAGTGCTTTAGTTGTGTCCCATGTGGGTATAAATATCACTAGACATAAACCGTTGAATTCAGCTGGCAACGTTGCACAAGTGTCTTTATATGCATAGCAAGGGCATTACTGAGATCTGCATTCCAAGGACCATGGCTGTGGGCTCATGGAGCTCCTGGGGCTGGGTTGGGGAAAGGTTCTGTGGTCACCCAGCAGTCTCCAAAGAGAAGCTTTGCTACTGCTGACCTGCTGCAGCTTCCCAAGGATAACGTGTGACTCACTGCTTTCCTCTTTAGTTACTCAGTAGCCCTTCTGCATTGATTTTCTTGCTTTCTGATCCTTGCTGTTGAAGTACAATTTCTTTTATGTAGTAAATAATGTTTCAAGATTGATTAAATCCCAACATGAATCATAATGGAAATGCTGAGCTACACACATGGCTCTTCACATCTGTAAGGCTGTGGAGATGAATAACAAGTTCTGTAGTGACAGCCTTAAAGTGGGTTTGCAGTTTTGCTGGGAGCTGAACTCACTGGTTTTTGTTTTAATGTAGGCAACTTGAGTGGAATAAAATGCTGGTTAATCAGTTTGAAATGAAATTGTGGCATGGGCAGAATGAACATAGTTATTTCTAGATAGCTTAAAGAATGGAGTATGATTTCAAAGGTCACGTGTAATTATACTTTTATTCATGAAGCCTGTTTTCTGTATTCTAACAAATATAATTCATGTGTTGTATTAATCCTACAGAATTCTGAATCAGAACATAAAATTCTGCAGTGCTATAATTAAGAAAAATGAAAGTGATAAGGAGTAGCAGTTATGTAGCTAATGAAGGACTTCATTTCAAAGTGTGTTTTAGGCCATTAATTACTACAGAGCAAGAAGTGCTGCTTTGGCAGCACAAGGCAAAGGAAGACAGAAGCACCACTCCCTTCCCCAGCCAGCATCGCTGGGAATACCGGAGAGCTCCGGCTGTAGTTCCGGCTGTAGCTTGCACAAGGAATGTGCAAGAAGATATAAATCACTGGTTCAGACTGTCATTTAGCAAGGAAAATCTTTTGTATTCTGCATGTGGACATGAATTTTTCTCTATGTAAATGTTTTTATCCTTTCAGGCTGGACTAAGCTTTGCAAAGTTATAAAGCCAAGAGCTCAGGTGTTTTTTTGTGTGTGTCAGGACTCTCCAGAGGCTGGGATCTGCAGGCCATCCAGGACATGATTGTTCACGCTGTGCTTTGCATTTTCTTTCTTTTTTCTTTTTTCTTTTTTTTTTTTTTAAGAAGTCTGAAATGTTTTCCTTGTGTGGCTTCACAACCCCATCTTTTTTTTTCCCAAACAGCAGGAGTCCTATCACTAGATCAAATTTGGAATTCACTGCTTCCAACAATTGTCTAATGGATCCACATGTTTACACAGCATGACACTGGCATCCAGATAGTGTCATGGAAGCCCCTCAATCAGTACTACTGTTTAGTGCTTCCCCTCTGCTTAAAAAAAAAAATTAAAAAAAAAGGAAGAAAAAAAGTGAAAAGCTACAGGCACCTTTTTTCCTGGTACTTAGGGGAGCAGTGAATGGTCCCTCTGTTTCAGTCACCAGTACTCCCTCACAAAATTTTAGAAAAGACTTCTTCCCATCTGTTCTTACTGAAAATACCGAGTCTCAGGTATTTTTTCAGTCCTTATTGTATCAATAAATAAATCTTAAAATCATAGAATCCCAGAGCTGCCTGGGTTTTAAGAGAACTTAAAGATCATCCACTTCAGCCCCACTGCTGTGGACACACCAGACCAGGCTGCTCAGAGCTCCATCACACCTGGCCTTACTTCCAGGGATGGATGCTACAAAACAAGAGACTGGAAAATAACACTTCCAGTCCCAATCCTTTCTTCCTTCCTGAGACTCTCTGTTGAATAAAAGCTTTTATCTGTGTAGTGATGTGCCCCTAACTTGCAGCACCCACACCACTGCCTTGATGAAGCTCCAGCTACTTCTCTCTGCCACTGATGTGTCCCTGTGCTTATGTGAGCATCAGATGTGGTGAATCAAATCACCCAAAGGATCCTTCTGAAAACCAGAGCACAGAGGGGCAGGCACAGGCACTTGGCATTTGTGTAGCATGGGACAGCCATTTGTAATTTACTCACCCCTGTGTTTTGCCAAGTGTTTGATTCCTGTTCCCTGTTATTGGATGTAAATGAATCAGTAGCAATTACTTGGCAACAGTCATTTGCTCTGAAGAAACTTAGTCCCTGGTAGCATTGAATGAAGGAAGGGGGGTTTGGCTGGGACACCAGAACCTTTCTTTTTTTAATTCTCTCATGGGATCTTTCACTTCCACACAAGCAACTGCCTGAACTGGCCAAGTGGTCTTGATTTAATGTTGCTTTATGAACACGACTTGTCGCAGCTGCAGGATGTCATAACCTCTATTTCCTTAGCTTAGATTTGAAATCTGGAGCCATATGATTCAGATGAACCACAACTGCCCTAGCTTAATTTAACTTGATGTATTTGTTTTGAAAATACCGTTGTTCGCTCCAAGTTTTAGTTGCTAAACAAATTAAGCTGATCTGCACTGGTAAATGGGGAATACTGACCAGCTTGATTAAAAAACTCCCTAAAAGCTGCCAAGAAAGCTCCAGTAATCTTTAGTTTATCAGTGCCAATGAAAATATTTCATTAATGTAAACTTTAAATGCAAAAATTAGAGATTGTCCCTGAGATGAGTGTAGCTCTGATGCAAAAAAAACCCAACCAAATTCTTACAAAAATAATTGTATGTTGTACAGTATTTCAGGGAAGTACAGTGAGATCACCTAAAACTGTTGCTGCAGACAGGATTCAGAGTACAAGATGATGAGCAGAACTGTGTTGGCTTTGCATTCAAAATTTGATTTTACAGGGCTCCTGCTCTTGTGCAGCTTAGAAACAAGCTTTTGCATTTGAAGTAAAGCCAACTGGATTTGTAAAGATACTTATCTTATTCTCTGGCCCCATTCAAATCACCAGAAAATATTAAGGCTGACAAGCCTAACTTGATATGCTTCTCAATTAATATTTTTATGTTAGATTATAGTACACACAGATTTGCTCAAGTGCCAGGTTTGAAGTCTCTCAGCTGGTTTCCAAGTGGCAGATGCTGCCTTCACTACCATATGTCTGCTCTCCACAATAGTAAATATTAATGTCAGAGTTCAGCGTCTTTATTTGTAACTTGTTGCATTAGAGCAATCTTAATTTAGTCCATTTTAAAATGAGACTAAACTTTTCAGTTTTAGGTTCACATGTACAGGGTGTGTCAGCACCCCATAATTCCTTGTTATTTCTGGCATTTTGTCTTCTGTTGGAGTTTATGTGCTTATCAATTGAGCAGGATTTTCTGTTGTTTCGTAAATTATTTTTAAGA